ATGTAACTATTTTAAATTATTAATAAAGATATAAGCAAGGCCTCACCTTAATACCAAAAAAAAAAAAATAATAATAAAATTCATTAAATTTGATCTTGTGATCATCAAGATACCTTTAATTAAAAGTTAGAAAAAATTTTGGCATAATTATTATTTTGAACTGTTTTATTTTTGAAAAACTTTGACTAAAGGTATCTTAACTACTACTTGGCTAAATTCAATAAAAATTTTTTTTATTAGAATTCAATGAGCCTAAAGAATTCAAAAAAAAAACAAATTAATAAATTTTGTTAGATGGTCATTAAGATATCTTAAATCAAAGTTTTTTTTAAAAAAATATAAACTTCTATCAAAATATTAGCTGCAGCAAAATTTTTTTTAACTTTGATCGAAGGTATCTTAATAATCATCTGATTAAATTTTTTTTATTAGAATTATACAAGCCAATAAAATTCAAATAATAAAAAATTCAATGAATTTGGTTATGTGATTATTGAGATAGCTTCAATTAAAGTTAATAAAAATTCACTGATATTATTTTGATTGATGTTTTTATTTTTTAAAAAATATTAACTGAAGGTATCTCGACAACTAACTGCTCAAATTTAATAATTTTTTTTAATTAGAATTCTACAGGTCTGTAGAATTTAAAAAAAAAATAAAAATTATTGAATTTGGTCAGATGCTTGTCAAGATTCCTTCAATCAAAGTTTTTTTAAAAAAATATAAATGTTTATTAAAATAATAACTATGACAAATTTTTTTCGAAGATATCTCTGTAATCACCTGATCAAATTTAATAATTTTTTTTTATTGGAATTCTATAAGTTAATAAAATTCAAATAAACAATTCATTGATATAGATGTGAGATACTTTCAAAGTTAGTAAAAATTTTGCCACAACTATTCCAAATACTTAGAAAACCTATAAGCATAATACTTTCTGACTGTAATAAATATTACATTTATTGAGTTATATGAAATAAATAAAATGATTAATTTATTATAGTTATTATTTTGTTAGTTTAAATTTTTTTGTTCATATTTCAATATATTTATCACATAATGATCAAAACTTTTTTGAATGATGATTTTTACTCTGGTCATCAATTTTAAATCTGGTTAATGATTTGCAATTTTGACCAGAATTATAGATAATGGATTTTTTTATTGATCAGATGATCAGATGGAGTTGCTGATATGTATTTCATGTCTAATAATATGATAATTAAAGATCTATTTATTTCTATTAAGAATATAGCACTGGTCAACTGGTTGGCTAAGCCATTCTAACTGGTCATTATTGATTATGATTAATGACCATGGCTAAATGGTTATGACTATAACCAGACCCATCCCTAATTAGTACACTCTTTTTATAATTGCCTGTACTGTTATGTCAACAAATGCTTACCAATATATACTACCAATAAAATCCTGAGTTGCATATACTTATCTTAAGGCCTAAAAATAAAAAATATATAAAATTAGATTTATTTAGTAAAATATTAAGAATCATAAGATTTTTTAATTTTATTAATAAAATTATTAAAAGCTTTAATCTTCAAATATTTACTAATTTATTTGTTTTTATAAATTAAATTTGAATTTATAAATTAAATAACTACAGAATCTAAGATCTAAAAAAAACTTAAAATCTAATACTGAAGCATTCAACTGAGTCTAAAAACTAGAAATCTATTAATTTTATTATAAAAAAAATTAAATCTGATTTTTAAAACATCAAATAGATTTAGATCAAAAAAAACTTTGAAACCTAACTTCTGAGCATAGTCTGGATCTAAAAGTCAAAAAACTATAAATTAAATATATATAACTTTATTTTTTAAACTAAATAACAACAAAATCTAAAATTTAAAACATTTAAAACCTAACTCGAGCATTGCCTGGTCCTGAGAGTTAAAAAATTATAAATTAAATAATTACAAAATATAAAATCTAAAAAATTACAGAATCTGATATCTAAAACATATAAAACCTAACTTTGGAGCATTGCTCGGACCTGAGAGCTAAAAATTTATAATTTAAATTATACTACTTTATTTTTTAAACTAACTAAAATCTGAGATTTAAAACACTTAGAACCTAGCTCCAGAGCATCGCCTGGCCTGAAAGCTAAAAAACTATAAAATCAAAGATTTAAAACACTTAAGACCTAGCCTCGGAGCATCGCCCGGGCCTAAAAGCTAGTTGTCAGCATACAATTCATCATAATTAAGTGAATCCTCATCTTCGGAAGGAGATTCATCATTGTCAGGAGGTGAATTATCATCGTTAGAAGGTGATTTATTATCATTAGATGATTCATCATTGTTAGGAAAAGATTCATCATCGTTAGGATAAGATTCAACATCGTTAGGATAAGATTCATCATCGTTAGGATAAGATTCATCATCGTTAGGATAAGATTCATCATCGTTAGGATGAGATTCATCATAAGATTCATCATCGTTAGGATAAGACTCATCATTTCCTGGCAATGACTCATCATTATTAGGAGGAAAAAACTCATTACCAGGGGAATTATAATTTTCAGGTGAATTATTGTCTTGATATCCAGGGTTATACGGGTCATACTCAGGTTCACTGTGAGCTACATGGTAGTATCCAGGATCATTACTGGGAACGGGTACACCGTGAGTTACATGTAATCCAGGGTCATTACTGGGAACGGGTACACCGTGGGCTACATGGTGTCCAGGGTCATTACTGGGAACTTGTACAGGAGAAATAGCAGTATTGATATAAAATTTAGTTGCAGGACGTGTAGAAATAACAGTATTGGTATAAGATTTAGTGGCAGGACGTGTAGAAATAACAGTATTGGTATAAGATTTAGTGGCAGGACGTGTAGAAATAGCAGTATTGGTATTAAATGTAGTAGGATCAGAGATCACAAATGACGAGAATAACAAATAACTAAGAGTAATGATTAGCTTCATAGTTTAATTATTTATAAGCAAAAGAATTAATAATGAAAGAATGTATATAAATTTGGAAAGCTTAAAATCGACAATGATTCATGCTAAAGCTCATTTTTTACACTTATATAGAAATTTAAGATTTTAGGAATAGTGACAATCCTAAAGGAAGTTTAGAACGGTATATTTACTAATAAGATGGACAAGTCAATTTTATGGCGAAATAATATGTAGCCACCCTAATATAAACAATGCTGTAAAATATTAATACGTAATGGTTATTTGATTTTATTCCTTTTCAGTTTAATAAAGATCAAAGATCGCAATGGAAACTTATCAAACAGGAGAAACTGTAGATGTTACACGACTGACCCTCGATGTGGCGCAGTAACAATTAACGGCTATGTCGATCACCTACCTAATATGGGCTTCCCGGGATTATAAGAAACTCTTACAGGGGATCCCAAAATTCCGGGTCGGAACCATCGGATTTAGCCCGGCATTTAGTGATACAATTTAACCATTTCTGGGGCAAAATTATCAGTTGGGCAGCTTTACTTAATGAGTGAGCTATGGTTTCATTAGTAAAACTTTTAGTGATCTTGGGCAAAATTAGTTAATTCCGGCCTGCCGATCATGATTCCGAAGTATTCCGACCCGGAATTTTGGGGATCCCCTGTATGAGTTCCTAAAAGACGTTTACATCTAATAAGGGCAATAAGGGAAATAAATACAAAACGATGGTTAACGGTTTATATAAGAAATACAGGTGTTAAGTAATAAAGGACATTGCAGCGATAATAGGGATAATATGTTTAATAGGTTTAATAAGTTTAATACCTTAAAGAACACATATGTAATAGAACAATATATAAAAAAGGCTTCGAGCCCTACAAGAAGAGTTCAGTTAGTGCTTATCATAAATTTCGCCCCTAATAATTCTCTGTTTCATTGTATTATAAAACCTACGATCATAAATACACCATTCGCCAAATCTTACCGACTAAGCCGTTCGTAGGTTACACGACATACCCATTTGTCAAGCGATTAACTCGCCGTTTCGCTCGTTATAAAAAAATCATTTTACAATACCAGATCATTCTGCTAGTACACTTTATTATAATAATAATGCTGTTGGATTATAATCATAATGTGTACTAGCGGAATGATCTGGTATTGTGAAATGATTTTTTATACATCGACAGTTCCTCCTGCTAAATTTACCACCATTTTTCAATTTCCTTATTTGGGGGTCGGTTAAAGCAGAGTTAATTTAATAAATTGCATTTTTGATATCTATATAACCTACTCACCCTGACTGCATCAAAAAGATAATCCTAAAACTCGCTTCACTTTAACCGACCACCTTATTTGGGATCAGGTACATCGTGAGACGTTCTGTTAACCACGACCAATTAAAACAATTCCCATATGCACACTTAGACAAAATTTTAAATTCATGCGAGTCATTATGCAAGTAATAATAATGTTTACAATTCTATATGTAGCATAACATGAAAGGATAGTTATACGACAATTTTCATGATATTTGTATTTAAAATATTTAACCAGATTGGTTTACAGCTGGAACAGAATAAACCATGAATTTTTGTGCTTAAACTCACATGTTTCAGCATTACATGTTTTATGCTTATTTTAGTGTTCAGATCCATTGAACTTTTCATCTGGATTATCCAGATAACTTTTTTTGTTCAACAGAAAATTTACTATTATTCGGACAATTATCCGGATAATTATCTATATTCAAACGATTACCAATCATATATGTACAGTACAAAATCAGGTATAATGTTGATGTTAAAAAAAAACAATTTTGAAATTATAGGAAAAGGTAGATTTGCGATATTTTAATGGTCTGACTGGATAGATAATGACTGAGGAGTTAAAGGGCTTGCTGCAATTAAAAATATAATATGATATTGGTTTTAAAAATTCAACATTTTTAAGGTGTTATAAATTATCAAAGATGTTTCTTCTAGCGATTATATCCTCACTTCAGAGTATGAACCTCACATTGTTGTAGTATATATTGGATGGAAAATAAATAGAAATAAGAGAAAGATAATTTCTAGTATATAGACAAAAGAAGCTAAAAGTATGCATGTGTGTGAGTTTACAGTTAAAGAGGTGGCTATAGATGAAAAAAAGTAAAGCAGAGGTGAAAATAAAGAGAAATGAAAGAAAATAAAAAAAGATAATAAATTTAATATATTTTATATTTCATTGTTTTAAAATATTGATGTATTAGTAAATAAATATAAATTAAAAAATATAATATAAATATTTGCTAATATAAAGTTAAGCATTTAATAAAATGAATATTATAGAAATACATGGTATATTATATAAAAAAGTTAATATGGTATATTACAAAATATTATAAACTAATTACTATCAAAATAAATTAATTTCAACTATTAAATAAAAAATATCTTTTATTATTACTTTTAATGACAATCGATAGACTAAAATATTATTTATAAATAATAAACTGATTTTTTTTCTTTAAACAGTCATGCTAGTACTTTATTAAGATCCTTGAACCTACTTTTGCAATTATATAAATATACTTTCTAGCATTACTTGATCACCTTAATGGTACTTAAGTGCAACTTGTTGCATTACTTTAAACAAAATTAGGCTGCTTGTCTGACTACTTAAAGTTTATAATAAAAGAGGCCTTTTCTTTTTATAACAAGTTCTAATATTATCTTTTTGGCATTTTTAATTTATTATTTTTTTTCTTTTCTTATGTTAATTTCATGTTTTTTTTCAATTTCTTGCTAATTTGTTTTTTTTTGCCAGTTTTTTTTTTTTACTCATTATATTTTTATATTTTATTCACCAAACTTGTTCATAAAAAGTATCTCATATTATTCTTTTTATTGTTTTGCAAACTGTTGTTTTATTTTTGCATTTAAAAGCAGTATTAACCTGTCTTATATTTCTTAGAAATTAGAGGTTTAATTAATATTTTGTTTATTTTTATTTCTTTTTTTTTATTTTTCTAAAAGATATTATGTATTATATTTATAGAGGAACTTAGATCTTTTTTTCTTTTTTAAGTTTTTTTTTCATATTATGATAATAGTTATTTTTTGAAGTATTTTCAAAAACTTGATTGTTTTTTATATAATATCAGATGTGTTTATATTTTTTTTTGCTTTGTTTTAACATATTTTTATTTTGCAATTATATATGATGAATTTAATTTTTAAGATCATGGGTACTCAAAACAAGATAATTTCCTTATCTAATCTAAAATAACATAAAAAATATCAGAAATGTTAATTATAGTAATTATGTTACTTTTGTTACTTTGGCTACATATGTATTAAATGACATATTGGCTTTATTATATTTAGTTAATATTGTAATGACAGATATTGTGATACCGGATATTATGTCCAATCACATAAAAAATACATGAAATGCAATAAGTTATATTTGTGACCAGAAATGGTATTTCGGATCCAGAAAAGAGAATGGGAGTAGAAATTACACATCCTTAAAGATATTATATAGATCAATGTAAATAACATTTAATAGCCTTAAAGTAATAATAAATGTAAAGTCGCATTTGTGAGTGATGAATTTAGTATTATAAATAAAGGCCAAAATGGCCCTAAGGGACGATATGTCTCATTTGCTTGATCAATAAACAAGTTCCAATACATTGTATCATTCATAATAAAAACCCTAACACTATACTCGGCATAAATTCAGTAAACCTCAATAACCATCATTGTTTGTTCAAGCCCTTGTACACATGACTTACCCTACTTGCATTCATTGACCCAAAGTAAACGAAAGCCTTTCTCACTCACAAGCCAAATCTAACACCCTCTTTGAAAAGGTTACTTGTCATATGTTACACAAGGTTTAGAATTTTGGAGCAACTGAGTCACAAACTTCTGAACCCAACAATATATTAAGTATAAAGAATATTTTGCATTTATGACATAAATTGATTATGGATGTAAATAAGACATTTATTATAAATAAAGAGCATTACTGCCTAAGAGAAAAGAGAGTCATCTTTTATACAAATAAATTCTTCAGTACTAATAAATATCTGATCTATAATAAAAATAAAAGTATTACTCTATATTAACTAATAAACTAATTTAAATTATTATTATATTACAAATACAATTATTTGTTTATATATTATTAATCTTATTATTGATAGCTTATTGCAAGTTATGTGACAAAACTGATAACATAATAGAATAGTCTTAACTCTGATTTGATATAAAGTAATCCTAGTTGAGATAGACAAGAGAAGACTAGACTAGTAAGAAAAAAAGTTAAAAAAATATTTAAAAGAGAAGATTAGTATTTATCTACATATAAACTATTAGCCAAATCTAACATGTCTATTTTAACTTAGCTTCTGTAGGTTATTTGAGAGTTGGATTAGTTTAGCAACAGACTTGCTAATTTTTAAATCACAATATATCTAATTTTTTTCTATTAAGTTTCTTTAAGGTTAGAAGTTTATTTATTATATATTTAATAAATACAATTTTTTTTGTACTAATTCTTTTTGTTATACAATGCAATCTTCTAGTTATCTTTAAAAATTTTCAAAATTAAGCTAATTATAAATTATAACTTTTATTTCTAGTTCTAAAAATTTAATTGCTTTTGTTTCTTTTTATTCTATTCTTTATTTTGTATTTATTACTAGTTTGTATAGCAGTCATATTAGTATATTAGTTTATCTGTTTTCTATTTTAAGCAATACTTTATTTCTTTACAACTAACTTTTTTAGTTTGTATTATCTTTTTACTTACTATTTCTTTTTTTGCAAGCTTATTAGCTTTGTTATTTTATTTATTTTTATTATAACTTTTTACTTTAACTAATTTTATTTATATATTTTTTATTTTAATAAGATTTATAATCTTTATTATCTATATTGTATTTTTTGTTTTAGGAATCTTATTTCTATCTGTCTGCTCTAAACCTCTATTAATATTTTTTATTGCAATAT